CCCTAAAGTGCTGTAATAAAGAATAAATGCCTAGGGTGCTATAATAGAGAATAACAAGAATAACAGAGAAGGTCTATTTAGAATTCTGGATAAAGATGGTGGATGTGACACACATATAGTTTTATTTTCATCGCAAAACTACAGTAAATGAATTTTTTAAGAAGATGGAACCACAAGGAGGTGGAAAATGGGAGGAAACAATAGCAAACAAAATCTGAGCAGTCACAAAGAGCAGGCTGAGAACCAAAACTACAATGTAAAATCCTCAGATAGCTCAGAAAATGGCAGGATACGGACTTCTGGCATGGAGTTTAAGGAGGTGGGGTTGGAGTGAGGTAAAAAGGAAGACTGGTAGAAAGCTGTTAAAAGAAGTAGGTATAACTTGAGATTTCCTCCTTCATATCATGCGGCTAGATAACTCCCACATTCTTAGCGGAAGGACATTGCCAGTCAGTTCCCACTCGTGGTGACCCCATGTGTGCAGAGTAAAACTGCTCCATAGGGTTTTCAAGGCTGTGACCTTTTGGAAACTGATTGCCAGGCCTGTCTTCCGAGGTGCCTCTGGGTGCGTTCTAACTGTCAACCTTAGGGTTAGTAGTTGAGCGCTTAACCATTTGTTAAGGAGTGACTGGTGCGTTTGAACTACTGACATTTTGGTTAGCAGCCAAGCTCTTAACCACTTGTTAAGTGCTTAACCATTTGTTAAGTGCTTGACTACTAACCCTAGAGACTCGTCACAGAAGCCTAGAGAGGGTATAAAACAGATGGTCTCTGGGCTGGGGGTTCTCCCACATACTGTATTAAAAATAGGGTGATAAATAAATGAACACATGCACACTAAATGCTGAATTCTGAGGTTCCAGCCCTCTCTTCCCTATTTATCTCCCAGATACTGACAGCCAGACCTTTGTCTCAGGGTGGGAGATTGGGGCTTTTCTCTAGGGACTCTGTCCAGTACAAGAGGGAATACCTGAAGCTAGTGATATTGGGAGGAACCACCAAAATGGCCTAGTGATACTCAAAATCAATGAACCCCATCTAGCCACATGCTTAGAGCTTTAAGTAAACTTTAATTTCCATACTCTTTATCATAGATTATAAAGACTTAACCTGACCCCTGAGGAAAGACAGTTCAAAACAAAGAAAAAAAAACAACTATAGACAAACATTAAGCAAGGAGATGATATCGTGTATCTCATGTATAAAAGAATAAGAATAAAAAAACACTCATTTACAAAGAGCTCTTTTAAATTAAAAACACTGTCAAGAATTTGGAACCCTCATGGTGTAGTGGTTAAGAGCTTGGCTGCTAACCAAAAGGTCGGTAGTTCAAATCCACCAGTCACTCCTTGGAAACCCTATTGGGCAGTTCTACCTGTCCTACAGGGTCACTGTGAGCCAGAATCGACTCGACGGCAACGGTTTTTATCAGGAATTTAGAACTCAAGAGAAGGATTGATGGGTAAACTTGAGGAATTCTTCCTTAATGTAATACAAAAAGGCAAAGAGATGGGAAATAGAGAAAAGATTCAACATCTGAATAAGAGGAGTGCCAATATAAGGGAACAAGAAAAAGGGAGGAAATCATCAGTGAAATAATTCAAGGGAATTTCTTAGAACTAAAGGACATGAGTTCCAGATTAAAAGGGCTCAACAAGGAGAAAGCGCAATAAATGAAAACAAGATCACACCAAGACTCACCACTGCAAAACTAAAACATTAAGGCCAAATTTATACAAGATTTAAAGAAGAAAGAAAAATAGGTCACATATAAAAAAATCAGGAATTAGATTGGATTCAGACTTCTCAACAGCTAGAAGACAATAAAAGTCTTCCAAATACAAAAAAAAAAAAAAATTACTTTCAACTTCACCCAAGAAGACTATGAAACAAGTATGAGGGTGAAAAAGGGAAAAAAAAAATTTGCAGACAAATAAGTCCCCAAACTTTTATTCCCTATGTTCAGTAAGCTATTGGAAGAGTGTTCCACAAAACAAGGTTTTTTGTGGAGAGTGAACACAGGAAGGAAGCAAAAGAAACTGAGATCCCAGGATGCACAAGGTGTCTAGAGCAAACAAACAAAATTGAAGCCGTTTGACTCACAAGACAGACATATCCATACCATCTGTCATCATCATGCTTCCTGTCATCAAACCTTCATTTTAACGTCTGGAGTACTGGAAGAATATGCTCCAAATAAATAAGGGAGTAAACAAAGAAAGACGAAGACATTCAGCAAATAGGATTCCAACTCAAGAGAAAGACAAAGGAGATTTCTGGGATGACAGTGAAGGAAAATCTGGCGATGACAGATGTGCAGAAGACCTAGAGAGTTCTACAAAGGAGAATGGAAGACTCCAGGCCAGATATCTCCAAGAAAATACTGGAAATAATAGATCATCTGATGCCACTGACCTTGAGGAAAATTATGTTGACAGGCTATTAGTTGGTGTGGGAAGAATCAGCAATAAAATTGAAAAGAATTAAGAAAAAAAAATCAAGGCAATTGCTAACTTTGAGGGGAAGAAGTAAGAAAGGAAATATAATCAAAGTATACTACAATGCACAGTTCTGTATAAGATATTTGTATCGGCATGCTAATGTAATCACTGAATATTGATTTAAACAAAAAGTGTAGTATCACTGTGTTGGGAGCTTACAGGAAAGGAAGCAGAGGGGATGACTGTATGAAAGATAAATTCTTATTACTATAATAAGAAGTCTATAGAAAGTATAAAAATAAAAAGACAGCCATATTAACATATCCCGTAGAAATTTAAAAAAAAAACCTACCACCATTGAGTCAATTCCAACTTATAGCGACCCTACAGAGCAGAGTAGAACTCCACCTTAGGGTTTCCAAGGAGCGGATGGTGGATTCGAACTGCTGACCTTTTGGTTAGCAGCCAAGATATGTAAATCCCTAAGAAACAGCTTGTTGTTGTTATTAGGTGCCGTTGAGTTAGTTCCCACTCATAGTGCCCCTATATACAACAGAATGAAACACTATCTGGTTCTGCAGGATTCTCACAATCGTTGCTGTTTGAGCCTACTGTTGCAGCCACTGTGTCAATCCATCTCGACGAGGGCCTTCCTCTTTTTCACTGACTCTCTACCAAGCATGTTGTCCTTCTCCAGGAACTGGTCCCTCCTGATAACAAGTCCAAAGTACATGAGACAAAGTCTTGCCATCCTTGCTTCTAAGGAGCATTCTGGTCGTACTTCTAAGACAGATTTGTTTGTTCTTCTGGCAGTCCATGGTACATCCACTATTCTTCACCAACACCAGAATTCAAACGCATCATTTTTTCTTCTGTTTTCCTTATTCATTGTCCAGCTTTTGCATACATATGAGGTGATTGAAAATACCATGGCTTGTATCAGGTGCATCTCGTCCTTAAAGAGACATCTTTGGTTTTGAACACACTTTAAAGATGTCTTTTGCAGCAGATTTGCCCAATGCAATATGTTGTTTGATTTCTTGGCTGCCGCTTCCATGGACGTTGATTATAGATCCAAGTAAAATGAAATCCTTGACAACTTCAATATTTTCTCCGCTTATCATAATGTTGCTTATTGGTTCAGTTGTGAAGATTTTTGTTTTCTTTATGTTGAGGTGTAATCCATACTAAAGGCTGTGGTCTTTGATCTTCATCAATAAATGCTTTGAATTCTCTTCACTTTCAGCAAGCAAGGTTGTGTCATCTGCATATCGTAAATTGTTAATGAGTCTTCCTTCAGTTCTGGTGCTGTGTTCTTCATATAGTCCAGCTTCTTGGATTATTTGCTCAGCATACAGACTGAATAACTATGGTGAAAGGATACAACCCCGACAAATACCTTTCCTGATTTTAAACCACGCAGTATCCCCTTGTTCTGTTTGAACCACTGCCTCTTTGTCTATGTACAATTTCTTCATGAGCACAATTAAATGTTCTGGAATTCCCATTCTTTGCAGTGTTATTCATAAATTTGTTATGATCCACAAGATCGAATGCCTTTGCACAGTCAGTAAAACACAGGTAAACATCTTTCTGGTATTCAGTCGAGATCCATCTGATATCAGCAGTGATATCCTGGTTCCACGTCCTCTTCTGAATCAGCTTGAATTTCTGGCAGTTCCCTGTTGATGTACTGCTGCAACAGTTTTTTAATTATCTTCAGCAAAATTTTACTTGTGTGTGATATTAATGACATTGTTCAATAATTTCTGCATAGTGTTGGATCACTTTTCTTTGGAATGAGCACAAATATGGATTTCTTCCAGTTGATTGGCCAAGTAGCTGTCTTTCAGATTTCTTGGCATAGATGAGTGAGTGCTTCCAGCATTGCATCTGTTTGTTGAAACATCTCAGTTGATATTCCATCAGTTCCTGGAGCCTTCCTTTGTTTTTTGCCAATGCCTTTAGTGCGGCTTGGACTTCTCTTTCAATACCATTGGTTCTTGATCATATGCTACCTCCTGAAATGGTTGAACACCGGCCAATTCTTTTTGGTACAGTGACTAATGTGTATTCTTCCCATCTTTTTTTGATGCTTCCTGTGTTGTTCAATTTTTTGCCCTTAGAATCCTTCGGTATTGCAACTCAGGCTTGAATTTTTTCTTCAGTTCTTTCAGCTCGAGAAATGCCAAGCGTGATTTTCCCTTTTGGGTTTCTAACTACAAGTCTTTGCACATTTCATTGTAATACTTTGTCTTCTTGAGCTTCCCTTTGAAATATTCTGTTTGGCTCTTTTACTTCATCATTTCTTCCATTAACTGTAGCTACTCTACAAAGAAACTGCTAAAGGAGTTAAAAATGGGTTACATCTGGGAAAGGGGTAAAGTGAAGGGGTGGGACAGGGCATCCTGTACTTTGTTGTAAACTTTTAAATATAATTCGATGTTTTAAAATTATATATATGCAACTTTGATAACAAGGAACTTTTTAAAACACCTAACACAAAGCATGGCAAGTGGTATATGATTAATCATAGTTACAGCAAACTGATCACATTACTTTCACATCTTGTTTTTCCTCTGCCCATGGAAAATGTGACATGAAGTCATCCAATGTGTCCACGATAGCATCAACTTGACATTGTTCCAATTCTGTTTTTCCAGCCAAATCTATGGAATAGAGAGAGGCTATTTTATACCTATGAATATGCTCAATTTAATTTACTGTATTTAAAAAATTATTTATTCTTAATAGGCAATATATTCATATGGTTCAAAAATCCAAAACAATATAAAACAGTATCCAATGAAGGCTAGTGTCCACTTCTGCTCCCATCTACCACATTTTACTCCCTTACCTACCTTATTGGTAACCACTTTTATTAATTTCTTATGTATTTTCCATTGTTTCTTTATGAAAATACAAGCAAATAAGAATACGTATCACCCCTTGACATGCCCTCTCCCTTATATCCTAGAGGTCTTTTTTCACAGGTCCCTAAAGGGTGTCCATGCTCTTTTTTCAGCTACATGGGATTCCTTTATGTAGATATGCTGTAACTTAATTTAACTATCCTCAACTGATTGGTTTTGTTTTCAATCTTTTGCTAATACAAGCAATATTGCAATAAATAACTTGCATATACATAATAATTTATTTTGTAAAATAATTATATTTATATTTGCAGATAATTTTGATAATGTTTTTTGGAGCATTTGTTTTCTGCCTGGAAATTATAAGTTCAAAATAACGAGGGTTTTTTCTTTCCTTTCCTTCCATTTGTTGAGCATTTTTGCTAAAAAAAAAATCATTGATCTTCATAAATATTTTCTCACTGATGTCAATTTAAAATTCTTCAGTGCAGAAGCAGTCAAAAGTGAATTGCTTTTATACAACAAATCAAGGAACAGCATACCGACAATGGATGAATTGTATGTAAATTGTACCTCAAAAAACTTAAAAGTGAAAGAAAATTCTTTGATAATTATGAATTCCTTTATAAACTATCTGTATTTTTTGTGTTGTTCAACGTTGATTCTTCTTTCTGACATTGAAAAGTCCCCCAGAACTCTATCATAGGTTCTCTTCACTCATTTTCATCTCTACTTTGACTTCACACTCAGGGTTTCAGCTACCAATTTCATGCAGATGACTCCTCATTCAACATTTTTAGTCCTAAACTCCAGAGCCATATTCTCAGCTTCTCTCTGATATTTTCTGAGTGTCTTCTTGGCCTCTGAACTTCAACAAATCCCAAAATGGAGCCATCACATCCTACCTAAAACCACCTCTTCTTCATTCACTCAACAAAAAATTACAGGGCTCTGACTGTGAGTCAGCCCCAAGTGGGGCTACAGCAGTGAACAAAACAGACAAATCGCCTGCCTGCATGGCAGTTAGGATCGAGTGAAGACAGACATTGAAGAGGTTTGAAGAAAGGTTTAAAGGCTGAGAAAGTTTAAAAAAAAAAAAATTACACAGTGCTATGAGAACAACAAACCACGTCCAAGCTGTCACCTGCCTTGCCACTGCTCTCCTGGTCAAATAAACTGTTCTCCCCCAACATCTATTATCTAGTCTCTATGATGATTCTACCATCACATAACTTTCTCATATTTTTCTCACTCCCTCTCCTTGTCGGTTGCCATCCACACTATTTTAATGACTTTCCTGCCTCTTGTCATGCCAATCAAATATAAAATATGGCGAGAAGAACCTTCCCAAAGTCACATCTGTAGTGATGTTGCAGAAAGGCATAAAAATCTAGATGAAAACCTAAAATTGCCTAAGGAACGAAGTCCATGCTCTGGTTCTTCTAACCAGATCCCAGTCCACTTTTCTAGATGCTTCTCTTTCTACTTCTCCACACTGCAAATTTGCAGTTCTTTTTCTTATACTATTTTTCTCTCTGCCTGGAATGTCCTAACCAGTGATTTTGAATGTGAGGTCCTTGGACCAGCTACATCAGCATCATCTGGGAAATAAGGAATGCAAATTCTTGAGCCCCACCTGAGACCTGTTGAATCCTAATCTCTGAAGTTAGGGTCCAGCAATTTGTGTTTTAAAGCCCCCCAGGTGATTCCGATGCACCTAAAGTTTAAAATCCACTGCCCAAGTCGAAGTCTTGAAATCATAGGCATCTTTTACAGCTCAACTCAAATGTCATTATACTTTGAAACCTAACTTCCATTGTCAGAAATAATCTCCAACCCTTCTGAACTTCAAAAGAACTTCATTGAGGCATATTAGTTTAACAGAGAATTTAATATTTTTTATACATGTAACTCTGTTTCAGAAAGGTGGGGAGGGTCTAATAATTAGAACCCATCTGATTTTTGTGATCTCACCATGTGTCTAAAGCTTGGACCTTAGTGGTGGTGGGAGTGATAGGGTTGTGGGAGGTGAGGTGCAGGAACGGTGATCTGCAAATAGATTAGAAAGAGGGGGCTTTCAAAGAAGCCAAAAGTGACTTTTTACTCAAAAAAAAATGTGAGGGAAGAGATGACAGTGAAGCATAGGATGGAGAAAGGGCATCAGGCAAAGAACAGAACTAGGTTTCTTTTATTTTTCCAATGCCATGGGGTACATCTACAAACAAAACAATCTAAAAGTCAACTACCCACGTTAGGATGCCTCAGGTGACGCTCAGTGGAGGCAAAAAAAAAGACTCCCTTTTTATTTTTTCAGCAGTATTAGGATGAAGGACATCATGGAGTACATGATTTTAATGGTCTGAGGAATTTCAACTTCCATATGCCATACGTATTTCCTATTAACTAATCTTCTCTGCTAACTTATGATACTCATACTCTTTAATGTTTAGGGGTGAGACATACCCGTCAAATTTTCAGCTAAATTTCAATAAGGGCTTGGGAGTGGGGCAAGGAGGTATGGGGCAAGAGGGGGTGGTTGGACAATATAATATAAAATTAATTATCTAGGGAACTCATGGAAAATAGAACTGATAAAGATGGTAGATTTACAACTTTCTAACATTTAATTCCATTTTTCTTTGCACCAAATCAAACCAGTTGCTGTCAAGTCAATTTCAATTCATGACAACCCTATGTGTGTCAGAGTAGAACTGTGCTCCATAGGTTTTCAGTGGCTGATTTTTCAAAAGTAGATCACCAGGCCTTTCTTCTGAGACACCTCTGGGTAGACTCAAGCTGCCAATATTTCAGTTAGTAGCTGAGCTCTTAATTGTTTGCACCACCCAGGAACTCCCTTCTTTTCATTGTAGTGTTCATTAATAAAGTTATTTAATATTGAATATATAACATATATTTTTTTCAGTTATCAAAAAATCATAAACACAATAAACATTTTACCTGTGTTTTTGGTCAAGTATCTTGCTATTGCTAGACTCTGGTGAAGGGTAAGTCCGTCAACTTCTAAAATAGGAATTTTTCCAAATGGAAGAGCTTAAAATAAAACAAATAGTCAACTTCTATAGAAAAACCGAGAGTTATAATACCTCTGTTTTTACTGATATTTGTGGAAACAAAGCATGATTTTTAAAGCCATGGAATTTTTTTTTTTTTTTTTTTTTTAATATACACAACAGAATTTACACCAATTTAACAATTTCTACATGTAAAATTCAGTGACACTGATTACATTCTTCAAATTGTGCAACCATTTTCACCCTCCTTTTCTGAATTGTTCCTCCCCCATTAACATAAACTCACTGCCCACTAAGTTTCCTATCTCATCTTTATAGTTGCTGTTATCAATTTAATCCTATATAGATAGTTCTTAAAAGAGCACAGTGCTCAAGGCAGACATTCTTTACTAGTTAAGTTAAACTATTGTTTGGTTTTAAGAAGACTTCTGGAAATATTTTTGCTTTAAAGTTTAAAGGTTATATCAGGGCAATAGTTTCAGGGGTTCATCCAGTCTCCATTGCTCCAGGAATGCTGGATTCCATGAGAATGTGAAATTCTGTTCTACATTTTCACCTTCTGATCAGGATTCTACTATAGACTCTTTGATTAAAACATTCAATAAAGTTAGCCAGGCACCATCCAGTTCTTCTGGTCTCATGGCAAAGGAGGCATTTGATCATGAAGGCAATTAGGCTATGGAATACTTGAATATTTATTCTGAAAGGGACATTAGACATCATCTAGTAGAATCTTTCCATTTTATAAGTTTTAAAAAAGAGTTGCTCACAGATTTGCTATAGAGTTAGTGACAGAACTGGGTCTAAACTCAGGTTTCCAGTGATATACAATATATTGACTACATGTTATACTATATATTATCTCATATGCTTACTTCTTAACTTAAAAAAACAAACAAAAAACCTTGTCTTAGTTATCTAGTGCTGCTATAACAGAAATACCACAAATGGATGGCTTTAACAAAGAGAAATTTATTCTCTCACAGTCTAGGAGGCTAGAAGTCCAAATTCAGCATGCTATCTCTAGGGGAAGGCTTTCTCTCTCTGTCGGTTCTGGGGGAAGGTACTTGTCGTCAATCTTCCCCTGGTCTAGGAACTTCTCAGCGTAGGAATCCCAGGTCCAAAGGACACACTCAGCTCCTGGCACTGCTTTCTTGGTGGTACAAGGTCCCCGTTCTCCTAGTCCATCTGAGTAATGACGTTACCCCCTTGGCCCCAGCAGGCCGCGTTCTTCTGCCCCTTGAGCATGACAGCCCCGCCCCTTCAGCTTTGGGCAGCAGATCCAGCCCCATCCTGCTAGCACTCGTAAACGGCAGCCCCACACTCAAGAACCGAGCTGGTATAGATCATACTCTTTGAAAGTCTAGAGGCCATGGCTCCAACCTTTGAGACCCCAGAAGTCATGGTCCTACCCTCTGAGACTGAGGCAGCTCTGCTTCCTGTGTTCCTTGTCTCTTCAGCTTCTGCTTCCTGGTTCCTTAAAGAACTCCGCGTGTGTTGGCATTTGTCTTATCCTATCTCTCCTCTGCTTGCTTGTTTAATGTCTTTTATATCTCAAAACAGATTGATTCAAAATACACCCTACACTAATCCTGCCTCATTAACATAACAAAGACAACCCATTGCCAAATGGGATTATAACCAGAGGCATAGAGGTTAGGATTTACAACACATGTTTTGGGGGGACATAATTCAATCCATAACAGCAACAAATATATATATACAACTATAGTACAGACTCATTAAAAAAAAAAAAAAAAACCACTAGTGTTGAGTCAATTCCTACTCATAGTGACCCTACAGACTCATAGTCAGTATCATATTAATATTTTATCTGTAAATCTTACGTTGTTTTCTTGTCAAAAAGTAACATACATTTATTATAGAGAACTTCAAGGGTAGGTAGGTTAGACTGAAATTTACAGTGAGGATCAGAGAAACAATCAACCAAGTTCCTAAAGTTGATATCTAGGTATAGGTGCGAATACATAAATTCACTGGGGGCACAGTTCTGAATTCCGCCGAACGCCTTTGTCTTTACTCAGAGTGTTTTTATTGGACTGACTACACAGCACTGGCTTTTTTCCTATGATATCTTAAAGATACTAAGTTTCTTCAAATATTTGGATGTGTAAGAAGGTATAATCTGGTCTTCCTGGATTAAAATGATAAATGTAAGACCAGTGTATGAAAGCCACAAAGTGACAGATTTCAATTATACATAAGGAAGATTCTTTCAAAAGTTTGCCTCCCTTCTGTTTTCTCTTCCTAGAATTTCATTCAGAAGTTGAACTTCCTAAATTGACTGGCCTGCAATTTTCCTTATACTTCTTCTATTATTTTCTTTTTTTGGTCCCATTGTTCTACTTTCTGGGTGATTTCTTCATTTTTCATCGCATTATTGATTTGTTTTACTTCTATCATATTTTTAATTTTCAAGAACTCTTTTTTTTCTCTGAACATTTCTTTTTATAGCATCCTGTTCTTTTTCATGTATGAAATCTCCTTTCTCTTTGAGGATTTTATAATATTTTTGAACTTTTATTTTTCTTACATCATCTTGGTTTCTTCTGAGTTGCTGCTTCTTTGTTTAATTCTGTTTCGTACTGGAGGCTTCTCTCAAATATCTATTGATTTTTGGGTTGCCATTGCTATTTTTAACAGCAAAAAGCTAACTGGAAGCTCAGTGTACACAGGAGGGTTGCCAACTGATTGGCCTGGCCATTTCATTGAGAGACCTCTATCTGCTCAGCATCTGTTAGACATTTTTCTTGGGCTGGTCATCTTCCTTAGAGAAAATTCCTCCAATTTCTGCCCGAGATATATTATTAGCATGGTTGCAGCATTCTGATTGTAGAGAAGGGGAATGGGGCAGTGGGTCTTACCATTTAGTTCTAGGATCCAACTGAATCCCATCTTCACTATAGCAATGTGTCCTCAGACACGCTTGGTGTCCCAGAAACCCCTGGTCCATCCTCTCTTGAGAGTAACCTCCATGCTTCTTCAAAGGAGGGAAAGGGATTTGGTGATCATACTGCTGCTTCACATTTTTTCATTCAATTCTCTATCAGCTCAGCTTTTAGAGTTATCTGTTGCTACTAATTCCTGAGTATCTCTGGCAATCTCTGGAGTGATTCAACTTGTCTTCTCCTCCAGGCTTATGTTTGAGCCTCGTAGCCTACTAAGTCACATTACCATTGTCGACTTGCTTTCTAGCTTCCAAATGTTTGTGCTATCATATTCTAGCTTAATTTCTTTGTCTTTGTGGGGCTTTGTCTTTTTTTTTTTTTTTTGGTAAGTATTTAATGTTATTAAGGTTTTAAGAGAGAGGAAATGTATACACTTGTGCACAGTCTACCAGGTTTGACCAGGAAGAAATTTTTAATAGACATATCCAATGATGGAATGTGTTGATTAGAGATTTAGTTAGTTCTTGGCTTTAGCAGAAGGGATATCATGGAGGGTTTCAAATACTAGAGATCATTCCTAAGTTGAGTAAGAGATTGACCAGATAACATTTGTAGTAGAAACTACCTCCCAATATCTATTCTCCCCTTCTTTCTCAAAGTAATAAAACCCTGGATTTTTAGCTGAGTAAATGACCATCCATTTAGTCTACGTTTCCCAGCCACCCTTGCAATAAGGTGGGACCATGTGCCTAACTTCTTGCCAACAGAATATGAGAGGCCATGATGTGTGCAACTTCCTGGTCATGCTGTTTCATACTTCCCGTGAGCTGGAATGTGGAAAGAGAATGAATGGTCTTATCCTGCGAGAATAAGGCAACCCCCTAGGTGTGGCAGATCAACAAGGAAGAAGGAGCCTAATCTTTGACAACTTCGTGGAGAAGAACCACCACACCAACTTGGGCTTCTGTGCAAAAGAAGTAAACTTCTATTCTCTTTAAGCCACTTTTGTGTTGGATCTCTGTCTAATAAAGCATTTGAAACTGTATCTTAACCATCACAAACTTTAAGATCCCTGTCAATTCTAAGAACCTATAAAAATATTAAGAGAATGAAACAATTCCATTTTCAGTAACAAAATGAAAAGTCAAGGTGGGATAGGGTATAAGGAACTCAGAGAATTTATATTTAAAACCAAATAGGCAGAATTTGTAATATATACTTTTTATGAATTGAATTGCGTCCCCAGAAATCTCTCTTGAATTCCTGGCCCTTGCACCTGTGGATGTGATCCTGTTTGGAAATAGAGGTTTCTCTTTATGTTAATGAGTGCATACCACTGTAGAATGAATCCTAAACCTAATCACTTCAAATTATAAAAAAATCAGAATAGACACAGACACACACACAAACAGGGGAAGACAAACACCAAGGAATGCCAAGAGTCATGAGCAAACACAGCAAACTAAGAGAGAGGCTTACAGAAGGAATTGACATGGCTGAGACCCTGATTTGAACTTTTAACCCTGAAAACTTTGAGAAAATAAATTTCTGTTCTTTAAAGCCACCCACTTGTGGTATTTCTGTCCTGGCAGCACTAGGTAACTAAGACAATACTATCTCTGTGTGTGTTGCTGTCCATCGTAACTTAATGAAATAATTAATGGATTCAGTTAATTTTCACCTATTTTAAGTCCACAGTCTTAAAATCTCATGTACAAATTCTGATATCAGAAGAAAAGTTTGGATATTAGTAGTAAAGTTTCATCAGAACAAGAATAAGATAGTCTATCCTACCAGGGGCAGGTTCTCTGATAAGAGACAGAGTGGTTGTAGCGCAATAACTTTTTTAAGAAATTGTGCCTCTAAAAAGCATGTGGCAATATTTATTGTTAATGTACCAGTTATCATAATATTATTGTCATTGCCATTATTTATTTATTTATTTTTTAAACTAAAGGGTAAGCATTGTCTACTGGAAAGAATTTGGACTATGGAATTAAAGTGACCTTGGTTTAAAACTGAGCTCTACCTTGCTAGAGTTTTGAACCTGGAGAAATTACCTAAACTGTGTGAGCTTCAGTTATCTCAACTGTAAAATAAGAACAATAATACTTCCCATGTAGAGGTGCCAGAGAAACTAAACGAAATTGAGTCTCTAGAGGATCTATCATGGTGCCACTTAATTTTCAAGTGCTCAATAAGTGTTTCTTTTGCCTTTATGTGAATTTGTAATAATCCAGTCATGAAAATGTGAATTTTAGATATATAAGGTAATTAATATTTGGTTACTATTTCTAGGACACATAACAAGTATCTAGAGAATGATTTCCTACTTACTGAGCGCCATATACTGTTGTTTGATCCCAGGTTTGTTCCTATAGCCAGCCCTCTCTCATACAGTCATATGTCTCATGAAAATTGATCTATTCTTAACTCCAGAGGTGGACTGGATTTTTTAAGGTTATTCCTATCCCCTTTTCAGCGACTGGCTCAAAAATGGGTATTTGAGCCAGGGAGATACGAAGGGTTTGCTGAGGTCTTCTAGAAAAGTTTTTCTTCACTTTTCTGGGAATACTAATAGCAGTAACCCTCTATTTCTCTTAATTTTTCTCACTAATCCTCTCAATGTTTCACGTCGAAAATGTGAGAATGAAATTCCAGCAAACATCTGGCTACCAGCCTGATGACACAGCCAACACACAGAGGAAGAAAATGGATAAAGCCAGCCTTTGAAATCTGCTTTACTTAAGTATGTTTAGTTACACAGTACAATTAATTTCCTTATTATTTACACTATTTTGAGTTTGGTTTTCTGTTAGAGTAGCATAACTGAAACACTGTCAAAACATACTAGATACTTTTAGCATGCCCATCAAATTCCAGTTGTCAAGAATATTGTCTTCAGTATTCCTCCAGTTCAGTTCTTCTGCCAAAGCTTCATACTGTTTTTTTTTTTTTAAACTCCCTCTCTGTGAGGTTTGTGCTTTCACCTCTAATAGTAAAATTGCTGGGTCATATAGCATTTATTTATTTTGCTTAAGCTGCTGCTTCTCAATCTAAATCTACACAAGGTTCCAAAAAAAAAACTTTTATTTTTCTGTTTCCCTGAGGAAAGACAAAATGTTCTGAAAGTATATTGTCATGAACTATTATTTGTGTTACTTACTTGATTTGATATCAGGCCAGTCAGCTGGTTCTATTCTGTAGTCTTCATACTTTATGTCCAAATACGCAAATATATAGCGAATAATTTCTGCTCTCCCTCTCATATTAAAATAAGTGAGTTTGTAGTTCGGCATAGTGTGATTCTGGAATGAGAAAAAGGGAGGGATTAGCTTAACAACCCTCTAGAGATGTATCAACATTTTTCTTTTTGGACTTTTTTGAAAACTTTATGACTTCTTTTGAGATAACTGGGGATATTAGAAGATATTTCAAAACCAAAATTATAAATCACTATCCTAATAACACAGAAATAAGATCATCTCTCTCTCTCTCTCAGCACTAACTGGAACATTCCAGTGAAATAATCAAATTCAAATTGTATTTATGAAAAAGACAATGGCGCTGCCATTAGCCTCTTATCATGTGTGATGTTTGTTGTATTGTGTGATTGCTTTGGTGATACAGCTAACTCAGAGTTTGTGAGGACAGCTGAGTAGAAGCCAGGTACATGCAAGAGGAATGAGAGCCAGCCATGCCAACTGGTCACCCTCACCATTCCACCAGCCATGGCTTTTCCCTCTAGGAATCAAAGACTTAGGGAAACATTCCTGTCTTTTCTCTCTTATACTATCCATGCTGATGAGTTTTGGGAAGTTTGATTATAATATGTTTTGGTGACTTTCTTTTGGGATCTACCTTATGTGGGGTTCGATGAGCATCTTGGATAGATATCTTCTTATCTTTCATGATATCGGGGAAGTTTTCTGTCAACAAATCTTCAACAATTTTCTCTGTATTTTCTGTTATCCCCCCTGCCCCCGTTCTGGTACTCCAATCACTCGTAGGTTATTTCTCTTGATAGAGTCCCACATGACTCTTAGAGTTTCTTCATTCTTTTTAATTCTTTTATCTGATTTATCCTCAAATAAGTTGGCATCAAGGGCTTTATCTTCAATGTCACTAATTCTAACTTCTACTGCCTCAATTCTGCTGCTATGACTTTCTAGTGAGTTGTCTAACTCTGAAATTTTGTTGTTAATCTTCTGGATTTCTGATTGCTATCTCTCTATGGATTCTTGCAGCCTATTAAATTTGGCATTATGTTCTTGAATAACTTTTTTAAGTTCCGCCACTACTGTGTCTGTATGCTGCCTGGCTGTTTCTGCATTCTGTCGAATTTCCTTTTTTATTTCTAGAAGAGTTCTGTATATTAATCTTTTGTATTCTGTCTCTGGTAATTCCAAGAAGTTCTCTTCCTCCAGAGAATTTATTGATTCTTTATTTTGGGAGCTTGCTGAAGCCATCATGGACTGCCTCTTTATGTGACTTGATATTGACTGTTGTCGTCGAGCCATTAATAATTTATTATAATTTTATTTTGTGTTTGCTTAGTGAGACCTAGCTTCTTATTTTGTTTTGTTTTGATATGCCCAGATAGGCTGCTTGTGTGCACTAGTTTGATTTTTGACACCTTTTGATCTCTAATGTCCTGTCACCAGGTAGTTGTTTCTGTAACTAAGTATGTGCACGCCGGAGTTCGTTAAAATTTCCTATATGGGATCAGCTCGGGTGTGCAGGCAGTCGATCACCCAGTGTGTGATGCAGGCTCTTACCCCCAGTCCTAGAGAGGCATGGGTGATTGGTGCAGACTCTGGCTGTGGTAGGGGATCACGCGCTGAGCCAGGCAGGGGGCCGATGGCTACCCCTGAGAGTCTGAAAGAAAAGCGTGTCCCAATTCTCTAGGGTGAATAGGTAGGTGAGTTTTGCAGCCCGGCTAAGAGCGCCCCACTATGTTGGCTGCAAAGACTCGAGGGCACCACTTTTTCTTGAACTCCTGTAGCAGGTGACTAGGCACTTTAGCAGCTATCACCAGTCCTCAAGACCCTGCTGCAGATCGATGAAAGTGCCTAGTTGAGGGGCAGGGCTGTTTTGAGGATCACAAATCTGCCGTTCACAGCTGAAGCAGTTGAAGTTAAACTTCAGATGTTTGCCCTGTTGTACTGTGGTAGAGAGGGCTAACGCCGTTGAGATGGGTCCCCACAAGTCTATACAGGGGTATATGGCACTCAGTGTCTGCGGACCCCTGATTTCTATGGCCAGCAAAGGAGTTGTGCTGACCCTGTGTTCCTGGCCTAGAGGAGCCAGCAGCTTATTTGTTCCCTCTCTAAGGCCAGGAGAATGGGTCAGGGCGCCTTTTGGGATCTATTTCCGGCCCAGTGGACTCCAGGTGCAGAGCGGGGAGGGAGGCGGTAAAAGGAAGAGAGGTTTTTCCCAAATCCGGTGCAGAGAGCAGAGATAGGAGGTAAAAGGGAGAGAGGTTTTTCCCAAATGGGTTTTTTTTGTTTGTTTGTTTAACTCGCTGCAAAAGGGTGCACGCATGTATTTATCCTAGCCTCTTGGGAGCTGCTCTTCACTGGTTTGGAGTGTCCAAGCAGAATCTCTGCTGCCGGGTCTCTCTTGATGTGGAAACTGCTTCTCGAGCACGCGCGCACAGCACAGCTGTTTGCCTGCTTCACCGAGGGCTGGCATGGCACTGTCTCTGCTGTGTCACTGCCGCGGCTCTAGCGCTCCTCACCTCCTCCAAACGATCTTCCTCTTCGGTATGACTCAGATGGATTTCTTAACCTTGCCTTGTTCAGGGCTGCCAGATGTTCACATAGAATCAAATCACTTGTTTTTCCAGGTCTTTGTTGTAAGAGGGATATAGGAAGCGTCTAACTAGTCCGCCATGTTGGCCACCTCCGTGCTGATGAGTTTTATTGGGTTGTTTGCACTGTACAAACACATCCCTACTTGGTGACTTCTGTTGGGATGGGCCAGTGGTGAGCATATTCCTCCAAAATCTCTCTAAAGGAAGAAAACAAACTTCCTTACTATTTCAGAAACTTTGCTAATCCCAACTGTATTGGTTAGACGTATGTCATTATAATTTTGTGAGTTTTCTAAGATTGGATCATTTCATTTTTATTGTTTATAACCAGTTGATTTTTAAGCTCTTATAGTGGAATGTGTTGTAATTTTATAATGATCAGGCAACTAAAAAAAAAGCATTTTTGTTTGAAATTTAGTTCTGCCACTCAACTGTGTATTTTTTGGACTAGATGACATAAACTCCCTGAATTTCAAAGCCCCCCTTTTTTTATAAATGGAGAAATTAATATGGATTTGGAAATTTAATGAAATAATGCATGTAAAGCACTTAACACAATGCCAAACACTTACTAATTATTAGTTATTAATAATAACAATTCTGTTCAATAGTCAAGAATAAACACTGTGAATACAGTGCACTAATAATAATAATCAAATAAATAAAAACAATATAATAATTACTTATTTAAAGTGGTGAGTTTAAATAGTTTATTCTCTTATAGGGAAGTTTTTCAAAGGAAATTAATAGAATATTACATAAAAGGAAAAGTTGGGATTACCCTCAAAACAAAGTTCTATCTGAAATCATGTCACATAAAAGGTCAAACATAAATCATAAGACTCTAGACTGCAAATTTCAGACCTCAAATTCATGCATTCATGGAGTCTACAGCTGGAGAGGATGGCCAGGAAATAACTGGTTGTTTATCTAGATCCACTCAAGGTCCAGGAAATGATGCTTATCTTGGTTATCTAGTGCTGCCATAATAAAATATACTACAAGTGGGTGGCTTTAAAGAAGAGACAGTTATTTTCTCACAGTGAAGGAGGTTAAAAGTCTGAATTCAGGGTGTCAGCTCTAGGCGAAGTTCCTTTTGTCTATTTCAGCTTCTAGTAGCTATAGGCAATCCTTGACGTTCCTCGGCTAGTAGCTGCCTCTGCCGTGTGTGTGTCTGTCTTCACACAGCCCCTTCTGTCATGGATTGAATTATGTGCCCCCAAAAATGTGTGTATCAGTTTGGCTGGGCCATGATTCCCGGTATCGTGTGATTTTCCCATGTGTGGTAAATCCTGCCTCTATGATGTTAATGAGGGAGGATGGGCGGCAGTTGTGTTAGTGAGGCAGGACTCAATTTACAAGACTGGATTGTATCCTGAGGCAATCTCTTGAGATATAAAAGAGAGAAGTGAGCAGAGAGACAGGGGGACCTCATACCATCAAGACAGCAGTGCCGGGAGCAGAGCGCGTCCTTTGGACCGGGGTCCCTGTGCAAAGAAACTCCTAGTCCAGGGGAACACTGAAGAGAAGAAGGCCAACAGAGAGAAAAAGCATTCCCCTGGATCTGACGCCCTGAATTTGGACTTTAGCCTACTTTGACTGTGAGGAAATAAACTTCTCTTCAATAAAACCATCCATTTGTGGTATTTCTGTTATAGCAGCACTAGACGACTAAGACAGAATTTGGTACCGGGAGAGTGGGGTGCTGCTCTAACAGATACCTAAAATGTGGAAGCAGTTTTGAAACTGTGAATGGATAGAGCAGTGGCAGCAACAAAGGACCAGCAGCAGCAGAGAACCTGCAATAGTAGAGAAGCGGCAGTGGCAGAGAACCTGCAGTGGCAGAGAACAAACAGCAGCAGAACCAGGAGACCAGTGTGAGATGGTGCTGGAGCCGACCCAAGGAGCAAGAGAGTTGAGTGCCTGTGAGCACGAGGCTTTCTGGTGGAGTGGGGTGCCTCCGGGCACTTATTGGTGGAGCTACCGAGCTTTGGAACACTTGCCCCAGCAGGGCAGATGTGGGTGTGAGGCCCGAGGGAAGCAGAAGCTGAAGAGACAAGGAACACAAGCAGCTGAGCCACCTGAGTCTCAAAAGGTATGGCCATGACCGCAGGGGTTTCAAAGGGTGGAGCCATGGCCTCTGGTGTTTCTAAGGGTGGAGTTGTCACTTCTGTGGACTAGGAGAATGGTACGCCTAAAGCCAAGGGAGCAGAGTTGCTGTCCCAGGGGGCCTGGAAGGCAGAGCTGAAGCTCAGGGCCCATGGGCCTCCACTCAGAATCCAGAGACGGTGGGAGGGCAGGGCCATTGTGTAAATTGTCTCGGAGAACAGAATATTATTTTCAAAGCCTTGAGGGCTAATGTAATGTGTTCTGCTGACTTGCTTGGTGCCTGTTATCCCTTCTTTCCCTCCAGTTTCTCCCATTTGTAATGGAAACATCTAGCTTGTGCCTGTTCTGCCATTGCACCTTTGGAAGCAGATAACTTGTATTCTA